TTCTTTTTTTCATGCCTACTCTTTCACTAAAGGAGACCCTCCTAACGGTGCTGTGCACTTTCTTTGCCAGCATGGGAGCACTGTTGGTTATCTTGAAGACGTGCCAGAAGACTCGAGATAGTCACTCAGCCCCGTCTAACCACTCCTCCATCCTTACTGCATCCATTCCACTTCCCCTAGCTTGTCAAGGATAGAAAGAACTGGGGCAAAAAGGCATCCTGCAAAGTCATGATGTGATGGGCCTCTAGCCATCTCCTGATCTGCCAGCCAGTTAACCTCACTCTCAAAACAAAAAATAAGGTTAAGTTGGCAAGATGTGTGCATAACAAATCAAACATGGCTTATTTTCCATGAGTCCACAAGCTGTCCACTTAATAATCTGCTTTTGAATTCTGCCAGCAATCTGATGGCAGAAGTGATGGATGCCAAGTCCGCTGGTCTGTGGTTTCTCGATTTAAAAATACCAACAAAGCAATCTTAAATCTCTAGTCTCTTGGTGATCAGAGACCTCAAGCAGTGGTTCAGCAGCCCCACCCGTACTCCCTCCTGTCTCCAGGGTAGGGGCTGTGTGCATCTCTGATGGGAATCCACTGAGTCCAGCTAGGCACATGCCCACTCTCCCTCCCAGACTCCAATCTCCAAACCCTTCTGATGGGCATAGGTCCCAATCTTTTCCAGATGAAATGCATTCCTCTCGGCGGAGAAGGCAGAAGTCCCAGGGGAGTGGAGTCCTTCTGTTTTCTTCGTCATCTGCTCCCTCAGACCATCTGTCCAGTAGTGGGTATAGCTTCCTTCCCCGTTATTTCTTCAAATGTCCAAAACAACCACCATGTTTTACTTAGCATTTTTCATGAGCCTCAGCCACTCCCCAGTGCAGCTTTCCTGACTCTGGTCTTCTGTCCTCCTGCCATCTTCAGTTTCATCCATGGTCATAGACCCACAGGTACCTTTCAGTCTGTCGTGACATCAAAAATCTCAGCTAACGTGATCTATTGCATGGAAGCTGTTTGTCTCCATCACTGGAATTGTGTGGATTTGAAACAATTACCTGTTTTTAGAGCTCCCACCAACAGAAAGCATGGTTTCCAGAATGCCTGCAGAAAAGCAAGCGTGTTTAATAGGCTATATATGTGGTAGTGAGATTCTAACACCGGTTACTCTTGTTATTTTCATTTTATAAAGGAATCTGAGGTCCAAAGTAGCAACCCTCCAAGATCACGCAGTCATTTAATAGTGGTCTAGGAGGATCTGGAACCAAGATCATTTAGTAAAAAAAAAAAAAAAAAATCCAAGCTCTTACCCCTCCCCCACCACCTTCCTGAGTGTCAAGGCTGAAAAGGCAAGTGTGTGTTGGGGGGGACAGCTTAAGCCAAACCTAGGGCTCTGAATAGTGTAGAGGAAGGGGAGGAAAACAGTTCTCAGAGCTACTTCATAAGGTTTGTGTGGGGCTCAAATAAGGCCATTTGTTTATGTATTCATTCCCCATCAATTGTCAACCCTGCCCTGTTTGCAATCCTCAGGTTTTCAGGTAAGGACCTCGGGCCTCCAACGTGGCTTAACCTGTCTCCTTCCACATCTTCCCTGGGAACCCAGGACACCTGGGTCCCCTCAGAATCACTACCTTTAAGGTTCATCATTTTAGTGGCAAACACTCCTGGACACGCTAAGGCTGCTTCTGCTAGAGACACAGAGGGCTCACGGTTTTGGCCAAGGGAATTGTCACAGTTCTTTCCTTCATAAGGCCTTTAAATTATCTCAGTAAAGAGGAAGCCAGACATAACCACTGTGGAGAGCATCTTATTGATTGCAGGAAGGAGGCTCAGGCCAGCCTGCCTGGGGCTGAGCAGGGGCCAGGCCACACTGGTCCCAGGGGCAGCTGCCAGTGAGTAGGAAGCACTTAAGAGAATTCCAAGCTGAGAGGAGTCCCGCATTACTCCAAAGTGGCTAAAGGGATTAAGTGTCAGAGAGCATGCGCATCTCTGAGACAATATGGTTGGTAGAAAGGAGATCAAATCAAGAACAACAGGCTTCATCCCAGCTAAGTAACAGCCAAGCCATTCAAGTTCTCGAAGCCTCAGTTCCTGCATGTGTGCGACAGGGCAAAGAATCTGAGGGCTCATGAGCTCATGGTAAACCCCTAAGAGCTTTATAAGTTGTGACTCTCCACATGAGCAGATGCTGAGTTTATTTTTTTTGTTGTTGTGGTTTGTTTGCTACCTTCATTATCATACATGAGAACCCACTGCTGTTCTGTCTCCAGCTCACCGGTAGCTCCTCGCGTGCTTGTGTGCAGATCCAAACCCCTTGCCACCACATCCTGGGTGCTGAATGCTGGTTCTGCCTCACTCTGATGCCTCCTGTACATAACCCCCTCTTCTCTGAGTGCAGCCATGCTGGCCCCTTGACAATACCTGAACCTTCTGCTGGGTACACCCAGGCCCAGGGTTTTACAGGGCTGGAAGTTTCACTCACATTTCACCACAGTGAGGCCTTTCCTAACCACAGCATTTACATCTGTTCTCTTCATAGAAACAGCCACATGCCACAGAGTTGTCGTGCTTTTTAATATGCATTTTCCTTTAATAAAAATCTCTGAGAATTTTATAAAATGTATTTTAGTCATATTTACCCATAAATGTTTCCCCTAACTCTTCCCAGATCCACCCTGTTAGAGTTTCTATTAATGTGATAAACTACCGTGATCAAAATAAACTTGGAGAGAAAAGAGTTTTATTTCAGTTCACAAGTCTTGGATCATACTCCATCACAGAAGGAAGTCAGGACAGAAACCCAGGACAGGAACCTGAAGGCAGGAACTGAAGCAGAAGCCATGGAGGAACTGTGCTTACTGGCTTGTTCCTATTGGTTTATTTGGTTACTTTCTTATACAACTCAGGAACACCTACCCGAGTAGGCTGGGCCCTCCCACATCAATCACTAATCAAGAAAACACTGGACAGACTTGCCTATATGATTTTTCTCAATGGAGAGTCCGTCTTCCATAATGACCTTAGTTTGTGTCAACCTAGTTTGTGTCAGGTTGACAGAAAACTAACCTGCACACATCTCCACCTTCCTGCCTGCCCCAACTTTTCTCTTGTCTTCTTCCTCCTCCTCCTGCTCCTCTTCCTCCTTTTCTTCCTCCTCCTCCTCTTCTGGTTGTTGTTAATTTAATAATCATCAACTGTAATTTGTGCTGTCTGTATATCTCTGGGTACGGGGCCACTCACTAGAACATGGTTGGTTGACCTACCAGGAGCCATATCTTCAAAGAGTATTTCCCATCTTCCCCCAAAGCCATCAAATGTCCACATCTGCTAAGTTAGGTGTGGGGACTCTTGAACCCCTTCTCATTCCATGCTAAAATGTTAACTGTCTTAATCTTGCAGAGTCAAGCACAGTTACTGTGAGTTCATGAGTGCTGCTATTCTGTCATGGCCAGAAGACATTCTTTTAATTCAGTCCTCCCCAACCTCTGGGTCTTATATTCTTTTTGTCCCCACATTCATGATAACCCCTGAGCCTAGGGAAAGAAATATGATACAGGCAGGCACCTCATGGGTGGCTGAACACTCCACAGTCACTTATTCAATGAACTTTAAAGAGTTATACATTTCTGCATTCACCACCATCTACTCACAAAGATGTTTCTCTGATGTTTCATCAACTCCAGTTTGTGATGTCCATGTAATTCTAGATGCGGGGCCACCCCTGGATTGTGGTTGACCTACCAGGAGCCATATCTTCACAGAAAACTGACTGTTCCTCCCTACTAAAAGTCATCATGTGTTCATAGCTCCTCATTTAGGGACTCCTGTGGATCAGGCCTTAAAGGCAAACAAAAGTTCTTAGTTACCCCCCTCCCAACGTTCATTCTGCTTTGCCATCCATTACTGCAGTTCACAGGGCTTATCTTGCCATTATTGCAGTTCACAGGGTTCGCAGCTGGATAACACTGCCCTTGACTTCCCCCCACCCCAGAATCCTACATAGCACTTTCTAGTACTGTGAAATCTAGCCAGCAGGAAGAAAGATTCCTGGTCAGTACCAACTTGATTTCTCCATGTCCTATGACCAGTATATGTGGTGTCTTCATCAATAGAGTCTTACCAAATTCTGGTGGTCAACCAAGAGCAGTGGCAAGGTGCTGTGTTGTTTAGGCAATCTCCAGGACATCTTTGCCTGATAACTCAAGGGGAGGTGTCCTACACGCAGCACTGGGCTTTTTATTTGGCAACCTATATCTTCTTGGAGGAGCATTAATCCTTTTGCAGGATAATTGCAATTAACCTGTTCTGTATTATAAATATAATATCTATCATATTATATTTACTATATATTCATATATGTATATATATATATTTGGGTGTGTATGTATGTGTGTGTAGTTATAAAATAGTAGGTTGCCATACAGCTTTTTCAACCATCCTTGGAGTTAGTCATCCCTCCCCAACCCCTCCTTGCCCTACCCTCTTATCCCTCTCACCACTTAAACCTCTTGCTCTGTCATTCCCCTTTCCCCTTCATATCTCCTGTGTTTCACTATCCTCCCACCCTGAAGATCTTTCTTTCCCCTCCACGCCAATGGTTCCTTTTTGGTTTCTGGGTTCTACAGATACTCCAAATTGAAAACAAATCTAAGGCTTGATGCTACAAATCTATCTATGAGTGAGAATGTGTAACATTTGGCTTTCTGGGTCTGGTTACCTTCTTACCACAGTTTTTTTTTTTTTTTTAATGGGATCATTTTACCCATGTGTGTCCTTCCTTATAGAAAGTTGGCTCCATGAGCACTCTCTCTAAGATTATGGCCCTGAAGCCTATGTGTAGTATCTTCCATGAAATTCTGATGGATGGATGGATGGATGGATGAATGAATGAATGAATGAATGAATGAGGGAGGGAGTGAATGGTTGGCTGAGAAGCCTCACTTGTCTCTCACACGGTCCCTTACTTATATCCTCTCTCTTCCCCCCAACTCTTCTCCCTCTCTCTCACAGATATGGAGACATGGTGCCCAAGACAATCGCAGGGAAGATATTTGGTTCCATCTGCTCCCTGAGCGGTGTCCTGGTCATTGCTCTGCCAGTCCCTGTGATAGTGTCCAACTTCAGCAGAATCTACCACCAGAACCAGAGAGCAGATAAACGCAGGGCACAAAAGGTAAGCCTTAGGGCCAAGGTTGGAGGAGGGAGGCGTGGGAAGCGTGGGGACCTCAGGCAGGCTTGCCAGGCCTAGGTTCTTTGGAGGATTCCTGCAGACTCCCTCTGATAGGCAACTTCATGTCCCCTCCTACCCACCAAAGTCCCCAGTTCCAGCACAGGTTCTGCTGCTACAGAATGTAGCCAACCCTCTCTTATTGACATGTAACCTGGTTGCCCTCCTTTCAAGTAGCCTAATGAACTGACCCGTAGCTCCACTTCTACTCCCCTAGCCATGGCCACCAAGCAACTCCTGGCTCCTTTTTCCCATCCGAGAGCTTACCAGGAAACAAAATGTCATTTTAATATTCTGTTGAGGGCCTAGACAAAACCAAGCAACGAAAATAAATGTGAAGAAAAGGAAAAAAACAGAAAACAAAACAAACAAACAAACAAAAAAACAAACACTACGAAAGAAGAACATACTGCAGCCACTGAGTTCTGGGTCAAGCGGAACATGAAGTGATAGTGAGCACCAGGTGCATATAAAACTCACAGAGCCCAGTTAGTGACTGGAGAGTCAGCATCAGGTCTGGGGAAAGTCCTGGGCTCTGCCGAGTCTGTGCTTAGGATGGCAGGTAAGTGAAATACCAGTATCTGCCCTTACCGAGCAAGATGTCTACCGGCTGCTGGGCTAAGAGCCTCTTTTGCACTCAGCCTTCAGGCTTCTATCTGGGACAGCACAGCCACACCACCAGTCCTGAGACATCTCTTCCAGAGATTGCTCCTGGCAGTACTTTTTACCAGGGTCCTGTGTTGTTTACATTTGCGTTTCTGTGACAAATGCCTGTCCTGTGCAAAAGGAAAAAGGAACTAATAAATTAATTAATAAATAATAAAAAAGAAAAATAGTTATTTGGCCCACAGTTTCAGAAGGATTAGTCTGTCTGGTTGGTCCCCAAACCTCATGGCAGCAGGGGAAAGCACAAGATGGAGAATGCTCTTCACCTCTTGGTGGGCAGGTGGCAGAGAGGAGGGAAATGCTTTCTCTTTTGCTTTTTTTTTTTTTTTTTTCATCTGAGCCTACAGCCCACATAATAGTACCATTCACATTAAAGTGGGTCTTCTGCTGGGCAATGTTGGCATATACCTTTAATCCCAGAGGCAGAGGCAGATGGCTCTCTGTGAGTTCAAGGCCAGCCTGGTCTATAAAGAGAGTCCAAGACAGCCAGGGCTCTGTGTAACTGAGAAACCCTGTCTCAAAAGAACAAAACATGAAAATAAAAATAAAAAATAAAAAAAACATGGGTCTTCTTCAATTAACTCTCCGTGGACATCATGGACACTCCAGGCGTGTCTCACCTGCCTCCTGGGTGATTCTAAATTCAATAAACTTGGAAAAGACCAGAAGAAAAGGGATATCTGAAGTGAAGTTTTCACTTCCCTTTTTGATCTAGGATGAAATGGCATCCTTATTGTCTCAGGCTCTGGAGGGCATGATCTGGGTTTCTGAGTGCAAAGGACGGAAGTGCACCTTACTGGAAGGGTAGCTTAGAGACAAGGATTCTGCTCTGCGTATTTTATTTTTCCTTCTATCCCTTCACTTCTTCTTCAGACAGTTATGTAAGTACCTCCCAAGAGACGGGCCTACAGCTAGGTTACTTGCTCCCACTTGCAGGAGCAACCCCTGGGTAGAGCCTAATACTGGACAAAAGAATCTAGAACCCCAGAACAGGTCTGTATAAACTGGCTATAAAAAAAAGCCACAAGTTTTAAGTTAAATCTAAAACAATGGTTGCATAACAGTATGCATAGAACAGCAAACAGCAAAATACACAGTGGATAATATAATCATATACTAACTCTGCTTGGTCCCCACATCCCAAGTATGACCTGTTGTGTGTCCTTGTGTCACCTCCTCCTTGCCTTCCTGTTTCCCTGTCCCCATGCCTGCTCTGTGATTTTGCCAGCCATAAGCTCTTCTTTCTGACATCCTCTGCCCCCTGCAGCATCTACTTTTTATCTCTTCACCCAAGGTCAAGGTCTCCAGACTCCCAGATACTCCAGAAACAAAAGTCTTATCTCTCCCTGCTCAAGTCAGCTGTGAACAAAGACTAAATTCATCACACAATTCTAAATAATGGGGCAGAGAAAAACTGGTCTCACGTATCTAAGCCCTGAGACTAGGGAACCCTGTAGCACCCACCGCCTGCACACCCGGGCAAGCACGAACTCAGGTTTCCTGCAGAGCTGGTAGGGTTCTCAGCAGTGGCAGGTTCAAGGTAGCTGTGCTCCGTAGCTGCCTTTCCCTCCCTGCCCACACTATTCCTACTTCTCAAAGAAGCCCATCTGCAAAGACTGAATAACTGTGAAGATTCCCCGAAGACTGGATAGAGCTTGTTATGTGTGATTAAAATCCAGAAGAACCAAATCTGGCTTTTCCCTCCCTCTAAACTACTCAAAGTGAGCCCTCCCCAACCCATTCCTCTCTCCTTTGAAATAAGTAAATGTTTACAGTGTTTTCATCTAGCCTGGATACTGTTTCTCCTCAAGGTTGCACAGCTCTGGTCTCTTTCACCTTGGGTTTCTCACAAGAGGAAAAAAAAAACAAAACAAAACAATACTGTCTGCTTCCAACACTCAGTTTATCATGGTGAGCTGAGGCAAAAGTGGGCCCCAGGGACTTAGTGAAAGTGGAAAGATAGGACAGGGAGGAGGTTATGAGGAGTTAATGATAGACCTTAGCCTTGACCATGTTCTGGGAGCTGTGCGGACATAAAAGTAAGCTCCAGCCCAGGTAAGTCCCCCAAAGAAATTGGTGCCATCACATATACCCAGGGGGACTGTCTTCTCTGGTCCAAGAGAACTAGAAATGAGCCAAGGTTGTCTAGAAAAGGCTCATGGGATAGGGCCTTGAGAAGCCTCCGCCTGTACTAGCTCCACCCACATTCTTTGGTTTCAGGGGAGATTGTTTAAGTTTTGCTTACATTTTTATTTTTGTTCTGCTGGGGATTAAACCCAGGGCCTTGTGCACGGTAAGGAAAAGCTCTATCCCTTAACTACACCCCGTGCCCCATCTCGTTTTTTAAAGGAATATTTTATTGGCATAATTATACATTCACAGGTAGTTGCAAAAACAGACCCTTTGTCTACTTTGACCAATTTCGTCTAATGATAACATTTTCTAAAACTATATAGTACACAAAGGGAGGCCACTCCGCTCACCCATCTTCTCCAGATCATGTTAAGTTTTGTTTTTGTTGTGTTTTACGCCCATGTAGTTTCTTCACTAATGTAGGTTTCTGCAGGCCCAGCAGCATCATGACAGGAAGACTAGCCAGTTTCTACATGAGAACCCCTGTGGCTCTTATAACCACACTCCGGCTATACCTCCATCCTTCGCTTACTCCTGGGAACTGTTTGTCTGATCTCCACTTATAAAATGTTTTCATTTAAAAAGTTGCATATATGTACTCATACAGTAGGTAACCTTAAGAAGTTGCACTTTTTTCATCCATATAATTCCCAGAGACTAATTATATCACTAGTCCCTTATTCTATGACAAGTTGTGCAGATACTCAGAAGGCCAAAACAGGAGAATCATAAGTTCTAGGCCAACCTGGGCTACATCATTCAAAACTAGCCTGGGCAACTCAACAAGATTTCTGTCTCAAAAACAAAAAAGAAAAAATTAAAGTCCATACACACACACACACACACACACACACACACACACACACACACACAATCCATTCGCTTTTCTCACTAACTAGTGTTCAATTGGATATTTGTCTGTTGAAGATCTAGGCTAGGAATGGTTTCCAGATATTACAAGTAAGTTTTGTGAACATTCTTGTGTTCACATTTATAACAACATAAGTCTCAGTGTCTCTCTGATAAATGTTTACCTACACAACTGCTTGTGTTTCCATTTCTCCCTTATCCTCCTTCTGCCCCTTTTAGGGCAAGAGATACAAAGACCCGTGTCCAGGCAGTCCCTGCCAGCCGCCAGCTAGGAAGTCTCAGTTGTGCCAGGTTCCATGGGGGTCACTGGATGGTCCTGATCAGTAATGGTGCCTGGCTGTGTCCAGGGCTGACAGTGCTGCTCTGGATCTGTCCTCCACAGTTCCATTTGTACTTGTTGAGGATTCAGATTCCTGGGCTTTGGTCTTCAAGGTTAGAAATGTACCTGAAGAGGGAGGAAAGAGAAAGATTTGCCTTCCTAGTTGGAAGACATGAACTTTCTAGTCCATTCCCTTACCCTGGCTGAATGGCTCCTCTTCATGCACTCCATTTTTTAAATCAATCCATTATTAATTGTTTGGCCTTTGAAATATCCTAGAAGGCCTCTGCATTCTCTTGTAGTTTATAGTGTCCTCATGGTCTTGGAAGAGGGTGGAAGCTCACCAGTCCACACAAAGACATGATAATAGCTTTATAAACATAGACTTCCAGCCACCTGTGCTTGCTCTTTCTTCTTTGCTCTTTCTTCTTTGCTCGAACTCCTGCTCAGTGCAGAGCCTGAACTGATGCTGGCAATAAAATAACGCGCATAAGCCCCAAGCTCTGCCCCTTGGGAACAGAAAACCAAGCAGAAAGCACCACCAACTTTTTTTTTTATTAATTACACTTTATTCATTTTGTATCCCTCCATAAGCCCCTCCCACTTCCCCTCCCGACCCCACCCTCCCTCCCCCTTCTTCACGCATGCCCCTCCCCAAGTCCACTGATAGGGGAGGTCCTCTTCTCCTTCCTTCTGATCTTAGTCTATAAGATCACATCAGGATGGACATCAGAAGAAGAAGAAAACAGTAAACAACCTAGGAACCTGCCACAGAGGGCCTCTGAAAGCCTCTGCTCTGCAGACTATCAAAGCAGACGCTGAGACTTATGGCCAACTATTGGGCAGAGTGCATGGAATTTTATGTAAGATGTGGGAAATAGTAAGAGCTGGAGAGGACGGGAACCCCACAAGGAGAGCAACAGAACCAGAAAATTTGAACACAGGGAACTTCCCAGAGACTCATACTCCAACCAAGGACTATTCATGGAGATAACCTAGAACCCCTGCACAGAAGTAGCACATGGCAGTTCAGTGCCCAAGTGGGTTACATAGTAATGGGAAGAGGGACTGCCTATGACATAAACTGATTGGCCTGCTCTTTGATCACCTCCCTCTGAGGGGGGAGCAGCCTTACCAGGCCACACCACCAACTTTTTACACACTGGATACCATTCTGCAAATATACTTCAAACTTCTGTATCCAGCTTGGGAATGATTAAATGATACAATGTGTTTGATGTGACAATCTTCTGCTTTAATAGAAACCAGAGTGAGATAATATTAAAAAGAAGTGCCACAGAGGAGGACAAGAGAACCTTTCATCTCTGGAAAGTAATAAAGACAGAGCCTACATATGAGAAAGGTCTGCCTCTAAATGGCAATCAGATTATATAAGGCTGTAATGGGCTTGACACAATTGGATTTCCATATGCAGCTCTCAACACCTAGCCTTCCCCCAAAGCGACAGCAGCCAACTCTATGAACTATGAGGGACTTACTTGCCTCTAAACATTTGGCCATGAGAGGGTTGCAGCAAGCTTCCTGGGCAGACTCATCCTAGACGTGGAATGAATGAATGAATGAATTTATTTTTCTCAGAAATGGAGAGTGACAGTACTGACTCATTGGCCTTTCTTTCCCATGCCCCCCCTTTCATTCTTTCCATCTAGAGGAGTAACCATCCTTGGACTTACAGGAAGACACTCCTGTTAGAACTTAGATTCTAACCCCTTCCCCATACTCAAAGACCAGAGAAAAGAGCTGAATTGTCTCTGCAAGAAGATACTGGCCAGTGGGGGAGTTCCCAGGAGACAGGGATCATGACATATCCTTTATGATTCTCTTGACAGCCCATGGCTTCTCTTAGCAGATGAACCAACCCAAGCAGGATGGTTGGGAGAGGATAGCAAGAAAGGAAAATTGCCACAATGTCCCAGACCCTTTCTGCCAGAGTCCAGGTTCAAGTTACATGTCGATGCATCCAGAGGCGGGAAGTGGATCCTCCAGATTAGGACTATGAATCTCATGGGCTCTTCTGCTTCTCACAGCAACAGCTTGGAGCTGCTTCTAGATCTATAGAGCCCAGTCTACGAACGCTAAGCCAGGACTTTCCTCCAGTCCCAGACTAGACATCACATTCCTCTCTTTTTGCTATACTGTTGTCATGGCTGGTGGTCATTAGAAAAAGAGAGCAGCCAGCATATATTGTATGGCTAGCCCCTCCCATCTCCTCAGCCAGCAAGTGAAATGAGCTTGGCCCAAGAGGCTATGCAACCCTGCTATGGGGGGGTGGGGGGATTGGGCTTCTGCTGAGGGCTTTCCCAGGGAAGGTTTCAGTTGTGGTAGGGAAAGCCAAAGTGGTTTATTGGAATGTGTTTTTCTGCCATCTACAAACACCAGGCCACCTCTATGTATGTTATACTCTTCCCACTTCGGTGCCCAGCATAGATATATATTGAGACATCCATTTGTACATCTACTCCCAAGGTCAGTTGGGCACCTATAAACTCGTCTCTTTAAAAAGAGAGAGCCTCCTGGTAACAGAGCAATCTTTCTGCCCTCAGGGAAGCTACATTCTAGCATAGGAGAGAAACAGTAGCAAGACAAGCCCTATGCTTCCCTAATGAGAAGTGCTAGAAAATAGACACGGGAGTTAAGAGGGGTTGGTGGAACCATTGCTTTCTTTGCCTTTTTTCATAATTAATACCTACACACATAGGGAACCAATCACACTGGAACCCAGGAGAGAATCAGGACAGCTAACCCACACTGTCCTCTAGGGACCCTACAGTCTTGTTAGAGAAAGGAAGTAAATGAATGGCACATGACATTGTGCAATACTGGGTGGAAAAAGTCAGGAGAGAGAGCTTGAAAATGTGTTCCTTCAACCAAGACTCCACCCAGGCTAAAGATTTATGAAGATTCCTAGAGTCCTGACCATGGCTAAATTGCAAAAGTGGGTTCATAGACCTTGGATCCATTCAGGGTCTATATACAGAGATGTATAAGGCTAAAGGCTCATTTTCCCTTATCAGACAATGCTGGGGAAACCAGCCTCAGTGGAGCAGCTGCTGTCACTGGCTTTGCCAGGCTTGCTCTTCTTGTATCTTATCGCCTCTCTTTTTATCTGCCAATCACAGAAAGCCCGCCTTGCTAGGATCCGTGTGGCCAAAACAGGAAGCTCCAATGCCTACCTGCACAGCAAGCGCAATGGGCTCCTCAATGAAGCTCTGGAGCTGACAGTAAGTGCCCAAAAAACCTGGCAGAGGAGATAAGACAGAAATAGGCTTGTTTGCTCATCCACAGGTACCAATGCTCCCCAGAAAGCCCTAGTTTAGACACTGATGGAGACATGTTTCCAAATGTTCCCATCAACATCTCTCTCCTAAGATTATTACTGCTGCCCATTACCCAGCTGTTGACAAGGGCCCCCAGCCCAAGGCCAAGCATGTTTTATGGTGGCCTTAATATGGCTTACCAAGATTTTCCCCATGCCCTTCTACCTTCTGTAAAGAAACGAAGAGGCTGGAGAGAGGAGAAGACGTGAGTTTTGTACTTAGTCCTTTTTTTTTTTTTTTTCTCCCTAGGGCACCCCAGAAGAGGAGCACATGAGCAAGGCCACCTCACTCATCGAGAGCCAGCACCACCACCTGCTACACTGCTTAGAAAAGACCACTGTGAGTTCCAGCCTACTGCCCGCTCCTGCCTCATCCCTGACCTCCCAAGGCTGTACTCACATTATAATCCTAGGCCAAAGAGTTAGTCTGTCCCCTTCCATTCCAAAAAAGTAGTGACGAGGTCTGTCAGCCCCCAGAATGAAGATGCCAAGGGGTGGGGCCAGGCCACCAGAGTGAGAGATCAGCCATGTCCTGAAGAGAAGAGGCCACTGCCATAGCCTTCCCATTTTCCCTAACACCAGCCATGTGTCTTGATTACTGAGGGTTGAGAGTTCTGTTTTCCATTCCTCAGTTCTGATGGGTATCGCCCTACAAGACTCAAGCTGAATTTACACAGGACAGTAGAGAAGGGGGTAAATTTTTTTGTCCCATCCCTGTAGCTGGGTTGAGGCCATCCATGGGTCTCTTTGTGCCTGCATTAATGAAGAAGGTAATCTGTATCTTTTTTTCTTTAGCCAAGAATTTATGAGTCCCAAACCCACTTAGTAACCTTGCAATTTTGTAGGGAGTTAAGATTGTGAAAGGGCAATTGCTAATGGAAATCATGGCTTAGGGTGCCACAGCTGGAATGGGAATGATGCTTGTGCCTTACCAACAGCCTGAAAGGAAGGGCAGTAGGGCCAACCCAGAACCCTTGGCAAAAAGTGTTAGGAACAGTAGGGTGGGAAAAGACAGAATAGGACAGCTGATGTGAGTGTCTTCCCTGCTCCTTTCCAGAAGTACCCTAGAGCCTAGAGTCAGGGCTCAGCACACTCTGAAAAGGAACTTACTGATTCCTAGCAGCTTATAACCAGCCTCCCAGATGCTAGATGCCCCTTACTCTGAACTGAAAATGGATACGGAATGAGATCTTCCAAATAAGAAAGTGCTCTGCAAACCCAAGTTTCAGCATTTATGGTCAAAAACTATATATGCATATCTGGAAGTTCTCCCAAGGACACTGAGCTTGCCAATGGGATGGGCCCAGACCCCACTGCCCTTTCCAAGTTGCATGTGCTGGGTGGAATGTTTAAATTAAAAGGACATGGGAGAAATCACTGAGTTTTGAAGGGCTGGAATGTTGGCACTGGGAGATTAATAGGTGGAATGCTGGTGTTGAAGGGGTGGAATGCTGAATCTGAGGGAATGCTGGATTGATTGCAAGGTCAGGTTATTGGAATGCTGGATTTTAGGGAAGGAATGTGGCACCCAGGGGGTAGAATGTTGGGATAGGAAAAGGAGAATGTTGGTATGGAAAGAGTGAATGTTGGGTTAAGCAGGCTCCTATTGGAACCAATGGGGTGAAATGTGGGGACAAGGGAAGCAGAATGCTGGAACAAGGGCTGGAATGTTGAACTTGGGGAGGGGGGTCATGAAATGCTGGGATTGAGAAGTTGGGATGTCAGAACTGGAATGCTGGAATGTTCAATCAATGGTGTTTCTATCTTCTGTTGGCATGTTGTCCTGTAGGGGTTGTCCTATCTTGTGGATGATCCCCTGTTATCTGTACGAACCTCCACCATCAAGGTATAACTTTATAAATTTAATTGCTCTTCTCTCTGAATCTTGAGTCTGTGGATCTCCTCTGCTTACCCCTAGTCTGGTTTTCTGCATGTGCAACTGATTCTTCCTGGCTTATGCTATCTCTGCTGTCACACCCAGTACCAGCTCAGTCTTCTACTATTCTTGCACCCAAATTATGCAGTTTCTTTCTCCACTCTTTCCTTTGACCTCCCCAGGGGCTTAGATGGAGCAGTGGAACTCAGCTTCAAGGTTAATTTCCTCTGGAATGCCCATGTGACATACATCTCTATGCTACCTTCCCAGTTTCCTGGAAATTCCTGGTATTGGCTGTCAGGGGAACCCTTCTCTGAACTCTGTTCTTTTATTTCTCTTTCTCCTCACTCTGACAGCCTTAGCCATACTGTCAATGCCACAGAGTTTTAGTCACCTTATCCAAGCAACCATTTTCCAATTGTCCTGGGTTTAGTGACAAGCCACTCTTATGACCTAAATAGTCAGCACACTGTTAACATTCTTTCCCATGTTTACACCTGACCTAGGGAATCCTGCACTGCCAGGTACAGGTATAGATCCATATGCTATAAACAGGAAAAAAGAACAACCATTAGAAGAAATTTTATCCCTGGCAGTTTGACCCCTTTGCATTCAAGAGCAATGCCCCTCCAATTCTCTAAAGGGTCCAAAATGTTTACAAACTTATATCACACCTGTAAGAGACATCAGATGTGCAAAGGTGACCTAGAAGACTCATATTCAGTGGCTTCAGAGCTTACTAAGAAAGTTTTTATTCTAGCTCTGATGATGCCACTAAGTGTGTCTGTGTCCTCTGTGCCCCTTCTCCTCAAAGTATATGGCACATAATGACTTAACAATGGTGTCCCTGCCCAGTCTCATGGCCAGGGAAGTCAGTTTGATTCTTTTGACATTGACACCTGTAGATATGAAACCCTTCCCAAACACTTACCTATAATCTAGGCATCTGGGGGGTCCTTCATTAAAGGCCTCAAATAGACAGACAGCCATACAGATACTGGGGCTCAGCTCTCCCTCCCTTCTTTTTCTTCACTTTTTCTCCTTCCTCCCACAGAACCACGAATTTATTGATGAGCAGATGTTTGAGCAGAACTGCATGGAGAGCTCAATGCAGAACTATCCGTCCACCAGAAGTCCTTCTCTGTCCAGCCATTCGGGCCTCACCACCACCTGCTGCTCCCGCCGTAGCAAGAAGACCACACACCTGCCCAACTCTAACCTGCCAGCCACCCGCCTGCGCAGCATGCAAGAGCTCAGCACGATCCACATCCAGGGCAGTGAGCAGCCCTCCCTCACCACCAGGTGGGTGGCTTCCATTCCTGACACCCCCAAAGTCTTGAGTCATTCCCTTTCCAGAATTAAACAATCTCAGCATTAGAGCCTGGGGGTCCCCTAGTGGCTTCCCTTATCTACTGCATGGGACCCCTCTGCTTTCTCCCCACTATTCCTTCTCATGTATGGAAGTTAATCCAAGGGTCTTCATAGGGCTGTTAGATGATACTGTGGCAGTGGAGGTCAGAAGTGGGTTTAGCTGGAGGGGGCAGGGGGACTCAAGAAGAATCCAAAAGAAATGAAAAAGATGGGCTATGATCATTTTCCTAAGGACAAGCTTTTCTCAGCTGTGTGATGTATATGGCTTATCCCAAGCTGATTGTGAATCACAGACTGACTTTTCTTTCTCATCTCTTTTTATATGTAAGCCATTTCCTGTTACTTCCAAATAAGTTGCAGAGAATTTGGGGAAAGCAAACATCACATGTGATGAGTCCACAGAGCTGGGAATAAGTACTATCCATGTGATTTAATAATTGTTAATAGAGTGGCAATTAGAAGCTGATTATTAAAGGGAGAGATCAAGGGCCCTAGATAAAACATAGAGAAAAAATAACACGGGGGTCAAGGAAGATTTGAGGTACCCACAAGCAGGAACCATCATCAACTCACTCTTTTCTATCCCAGTCGCTCCAGCCTTAACTTGAAAGCAGACGACGGACTGAGACCAAACTGCAAAACATCCCAGATTACGACAGCCATCATCAGCATCCCCACTCCCCCAGCTCTAACCCCAGAGGGAGAAAGTCGGCCACCCCCTGCCAGCCCAGGCCCCAACACGAACATTCCTTCCATAGCCAGCAACGTTGTCAAGGTCTCTGCCTTGTAAAACCACTGGACAGAGGGCCCGAGGGGGTAGTGGGCAGTAAAAGGGGCTGGCATGTTGGTGGGTGGCCATTGGGACCACTCCCTCCCCCTTTCCCACTATTTCTGCCTGCCCTGTTGCACCCCTAGCACTGAGACTTGTGCCTGGAAGGGAAGGAAGCAGCAAAGGGTACCCAAGGATCCCGCTGCTAGTGCAGACACAGCCCTGTGACATTGCATCTTGCTGGGGCCAGAAGAAGGGAAGGGGTGGGTAGGGGATGGGCCATTAGAGGATGCAGGCTGCCTGCCTGGTCAGGGCCTGGAGGGGGCATCTCAGACCAAATAACAGTTGTTTCTGGAGACCCCAGTGAGGAAAACACAAGACCGAGAGCAGCCCAGAGGACGAGTCGTCACATGCAAACAGGAAGAAAATATAACACTGTGTATTTAAGCACCTTTTTCAAGGATCTTAATGGATAATATTTATTCATGGGAAAAGGTGGAAAACAAAATCATCAATGGATTTTTGTGAAATGTTTTTCTCCATGGACCCAACACCTTTAAACCAAAACAATGCATTTTGTGAGGTTGGTTTTTATTTTTCTCCTTTTATAGCAAAAGCTTTTAGGCTCAGTTACTGCTAAGATCTCTCCCCATTCCCGGGATGAGTGAGGTCACCTTAGCTGGGCCCTCACTGCCCAGCTGACCTGCACAGAGCTGTCAAGCAACCACACAGCAAACCTTCTGCTCCGTCCGTCTGTCTCCTTTGTCTTTGTACCTATCTGCTTCACCTTGGCTGTTTCTGTGTCCAATCATCTGTCTCACCATGGACTGTAAAGCCTTCTCTGTCACTGCCAAGTACTGCAGACTTGTGCCTGGGAGTCAGGCCGAGTCAATGCAAATACAGAAAAGAAAGGAAGCCAAGTGGGGCAAGTTTGAGGGTGAGGTAAGTCTACAACATGAACAGAGGTGCTTCCCTTTTGATTGGAACTGCTTGTCTTTGCAGTTTGAGGGTGAGGGGAGGCATGGTCACTGGGTCTTGAAAACGGAAACAGCAACTTTAGAAAGCAGTCGTTTCTGCAATACCCCAGAGAAGACAGAAGCACCCAGGCTCGCAGTGCCACAGCTCCAGGGCACCTTGCTATGTACCCTCCTTTCAGATGCACCATGAATCCCAGGCGGTGCTCTGCTAAGAGGTTCCATGAGCATCTTCAAGTGAGGACGATGGGATGACACCCTGACTTACTGCCCGAGGCGGTTCCTATACAAAGGCCGTGAAGGTTAAGCCTGTGTGCCCCATGAAGGATATTTCAAAGCAAGTAAGAGGCTCTAGATGATTCTTGCCTGGTCTGAAAGATACCTTGAAGTCTGAGTCATTTTCAGGCCTCATCTCTGAAGATAGCTGAAGCATGGGTATGCTGATGACCTCCACGTAAATGAGGGAGTGGAGATTCCTTCTATAAAATGTGGATAGTATGTTTGTTCAAGTTATTGTCACTGTAGTGGGCCTGGGAACAGTATTTGTGGAATCTTCCTAATCATTTTTACCCCTTCCAGCAGAGCAAGTAGGCCTCCAGGATTAGTGACAAGAGCTGTTTCCTGCCCTTCTCAGCTGCAGCTGTCTACTGCAGTCTCTGAAGACTGGGATCTGAGGCACACGAGCTGCTGAGGAATTTCTTATCCATTCTATAGCTCACAGATAAGCTGTTCATTTCCAAGTCAAAAATCTCTCTACTCGGGACAGGATGAAATTCACTATCCTGGGGACTGAAAGCTTCTATGGCCCCAGCTCCAGTGACCCTGTATGCAGAGGAAGCCAGGTTTTTTGAGGTGGTATCAAACCAGAAAATGAACAGAAGGGCAGAAGAAAAGGGCCCTTCTTTCCATCTTTGTCTCCCTGTCCTCTTCCTCAGTGGCCACTGACAGTCCTTTCTCCTAGATCTAGCCTCGGAATTTCCCCTATCATAGGAATGGAGCGGTTCTTGCAATCAGTAACTTCACATACAATTTATCAGCCAAGGCATAGAGCCAAGCTGGACCCAACTGTAGCAAGTAGGCAAAGAAGTCGAAAAGGATCTTTCTGTTGAAAGAATGGACCATGGGACAAAGGAATGTCTAGGTGCATGATACTTCCTAATAATTGAGTGGGATAAGGATACAGATTTTAAGGAAACACCATTGTATTCACATACAAACCATCATTCTTTTTCGGAACAAGTCATGCCAGGGTTAGAATGATGACCAGTTCAACTAAGGATCTCCATGTCACTTGGATAGTGTACCAACACAGCATATTATGGTTCTCATGAAAAGAAATATTTTAAAAACTGTGTCCCCCAAAATTTCATTTTTTATTGACTTCACTGAACTGTTTGTGTTGCTTCTATTTTATCTCCAAAGTCTATATCATACCAGTTCCTAAAAATAATCATTAGACTGTCTTCATTTTCATTCCCCCATTGCAGTCTTGGCAAGAGGTAAGGGACCCAGCTCACCTGTGCTCAAAGATAACAACCCAATGAAACAACTCACAGCCATATCTGCTAAAGGGTATTTGTGAGTATGCACAGGGGTAAAGTGTGCTGCTGGATCACCTTAGTAAGTCTGACTTATCGGTTAGTAGGCGAAGAACCAGGCTATCAGATTCTTCTATAGACCCATAGCTTTCTGGTGCAATGACTCATGGTGCACAAACCATGTTAGAATAACAGAAAATTCCCCACTCCGCCCCTCCTTTCAACCCTACGTGGCACTGGGGGAGAAGGTATTAAAAGGACAGCAAATAAAAAGCCTACGACTACATTCAAATAATAAATGGAAATAACTTGGAAAATATAGTATCGAGCATACCAGAGAAGATTAAAGAATGTCTAATTCATTTTACACTGTAGAAATCCGGGACCCAGAGAACTTGACTCCCTCAAGGTAATGTAATCATTTGATAGACGAGGGATTCTGTTTTGGATTTGATTTGGGGTAGGAGAGTCAACACACCGTTTGCCTCTCAGAGTTAATATGTTGGGCAAGAACCATCAAAGATGCCATGCCATAACTAGAGACACTCATGTGTAAATGTCAACATAACTTGATATTGCTCTAGGAAATCACCTGACTGTATTAGTACAAATTATCGACTCTGAAGCCACCATTTCTTGGGTAGAGCCAGCTATGGGTGATTGATTCTCTAAGAAATAGATGAACAAGGGAATGTCCAAGATTTTTCCTCAATGAAAAGGGGGCTTGGACAATGACATTTCAAAGCATATCGTTGCTTCTCACCACTCTCTGTGAAGGTAGTCACCCTAGTAAATCCTTGATTCCGAGAAAAGAAATGGGCACAAAGAAACTGAATGACTCATCCAAAGTTCATGGCAAGCTAATGGCAGAATTATGATTTGATCCAGGATTAGACATCATGTCCTAGGAGTGTCTTCTGTACCCTGCTCCATGGCTCTAAGGCTTGGTCATATGTTTCAAGAATGTTGGTTAGGGGAAAGGAAGCGTTCCTGAAGTAGCAGGACCTCCAGAAATAGACCATTATTTCTCCCTCATTCCCACTCCACCTAACTAGTCTCAAGCTCAGGACTAACTGTACAGAACCCCTTTCAAAAGACCAGTAGATATTCTCAACAACCAAACATTACTAGTTTATAACCAGATGTTAAGGAGGGTGGTAAAAGATGATCCATGGGTGACAAAAGTCACGTACAGAACTGCTGAGGACTTTATACAGTTGTTTTGATTTCTCTGCAGTTCAGGATCATGTTATTTTCTTGTCAGAATGCAGGTAGGGGAAAGTACCTGGGAGCATTATATGCCTAGATCGTTTTTCTTGTCTTTTTAAAAATAGCAGTAGTGATTGAAATTGAGCTAGCATTAGATTTGAAATTATTAATGGATTCTAGTGATTCAGGCTCCCTCACTTCAATTACTAGGTAACTAAGTAAGGCAGAAGGATCCCAATACTGTTCATTTAAAGTAATAGTTTCCCTTTCATGCTAGTTGGCATGGTAACCAACTTAAGAGGAACATGAAAAACTTTTCCCTGTTTTCCTAATGAATTATCATTACTTGCAAAGCTTTAAAATACAGGATAAAGGAAAAACATTGTCATGACCCATGACACTTGGAGCCCAAACAGCATCATGAAAAGCATTAGAACCAAGGGAAAGTGGCTTTGAAAAATGAAATGGCTTTTTAAAGGGGTTCCTTATGGGTCTTGTTTTTTATTCAGGATATTCTATGTTTTCTCATCAGATGTGGGAACATTTATCTTAGCAGGTTATTTAAACTATGCTGGCTGATGACATGTTAGCCAGTGCAGGACACAGACCCAAGTCCTGGGGGAGTCATTGGACCAATGGACTATTTTACAAACCAGGGAGGTGGGAGGGATGGTATATTTTTGATAACCAGACATTCCAATGTTTTCCTTAGAGGTCATGCGCTCCCATTAATGTTCTTGTAAAAAACATCAAGTGTGTTCTTTTCTATTTTCGTATAATTACTGGGCTTTGCTTACCAACATCACAATGGCAAAGAAATATACTGTACAAAACTGCAGGAAGATGAACATGAAAACTTTCTGTGGGGAAAAAGCTCTTAAGTTTCTTGTCTTCTTTTGAAATCGTAGTGCATATGTTATAACATGTATATCATTTACAGTATTGAGTCCTGTGCCACTGCTGTACCTGATGTATCCAATCTGGATTAAACGAACTATGTGCCACAAGCCTTGGCGTGAGAAGAGTTTCTTTTAACAGTTCTTTCCCTTCCAGAAGTATTGCCTTACACTGGAAGGCTTTCCAGCCTGCTCCAGCAGGGACATAATCTTAGGTGTAAAGGTCTCGTCTAATTGACCCCATCTTCTTCCACATAAAAGATGCCACTACAATTTCCTGGAGCCTCTTGCCTGCCTAGGCAAATTCACTTTTAACAGCAGCACACTGGGTTGAATTTGTCTACAGCTCTCACTTCAAGACTAAGAGACAGCTAAACAAAAATCCATCCTCTAATATTTGCTCCACCTAGATCAAGGTCTCAAACGACACATACACAATAGTAAATGCTATCGAGAGTAAAAATTTTTGATAGGCAACAGAAACACAAGCTCTGGCTCATCACGTCTGTGACTTTACATCAGTTACTTTTTGACTTCTTCCCTTCAGTTCTTTTCTTGATTTTAAGGGACTGTGGTGGGCCAGGATTAAGTGCCTTGAAGATCTACCCTAACCTTAACAATTCTGTTGAAGCAGAATTCTGTTGAAGCAGCATTTTCCTGTTCTGCCATGCAACAACACAAATTTAAATCGTTTTCATGCTCCACAACCACCAGATCCCGATCAATGAAAGCAAGAAAAAGGGCAGGGGGTGGGGGGCAGTATGTCCAAAGGTTCTACAGAACCATGAAATTCATTCTAAGCACTAATGCTCACATCCTTACCACCCACTAGGTGTCAGTAAAGACCCATAGCTCAAATTATCTGAAGGAAAACTGGAAACTGTACAATCAGCAACTCTTGCAGTCAGCAATTCTTTTTCATTTAAAAGCACTGTGTGGGAGAAGGTGGCTCAATATGTAAAGCCTCTGATTCCCAGATTTACAAAATGGAAGGAGACAACTGATTCTTGTTGTTATCCTCTGACCTCTACCCATGTATCATGACTTGTACAGACAAAATTAAAATATGAAAAAAAAAAAAAAAAAACAAAACCTTTATTTCTCACAATGTAGCTCTGACTGTTCTGGATCTCACTCTGTAGACCAGGCTGGCTTTGGATTCAGAGATCCACCTGCCTCTGCCTCCTGTGTACTGGAATTAAAGGTGTGTCTACTAAGCCCACTTTATAACAAAATTTTAAAGCACTATATATCAAGTATCAAAAAGTACACATGCACTTGTTCAAAAGACATCAAAATACATTCTGCCCCAACAAGACAAGAGCCTTTTGACAAAGGTGTTTGCAATTGCTATGAAAAAATTTAGGATTATTTTATATTTAAAGGGAAATGGAAAAAGCCCTCAATCATTCCTTTATCTTAGATACAACCCATAACATGATCATTCTTCTTCACAATTATTTTTAGTATTCTGGAACTGAAGTTTACCTTTAAGACAGTTTTTTTTAAGAAGTCACCAAAGCAGTAACTTATGTTCTCATAATTATCTCAAGAAGAGGGCTGGACAGATGACTTAGTGGTTAAGAGTACTTGCTGCTCTTCAGAGGACCCAAGCACCTATGTTGGACAGCTCACGACTGCTTTGAGCTCCAGTTCCAAGGCATCCAACACCCTTTCGAGCCTCTGTGGACATATATGCATGTGCACATATGCATGCACACACGTACACACACACACAAACCTAGAAAAACTAAAGATAAAACTATACAAAGGAGATTTCCCCAAGATCTCTGCATGTAATATACTGAACACCTAATTCAAGCTTAACCTGGTTACAGGTAATGAATGGACTGAAGATGACTTCTAGAGACTCTTTACAAATCTGAATTATCCTTCTCACAAAATACTTTCTCATTATGAGTCATACAAAATTTAAATCTCTCAAAGAACCTTAAAAGTTTAATCCAATGTCTTATTTTATTGAGAAAGCTGGATTCTGAGAGGTTACGTGAGTGGTACAAGGTTTAAAAGTGATAGAATGTCTTAACCAGGACAAGTTTTCTTTTCATCTGATTTTACCACAAACCATGGTTCCAAAGAGATTATGTGAAGAAAACATTCCTTCCTGCCTGAACCTTGAAGATCTAGCATGAAAAACTTTTCATGAGGCAGCAATACAGAAATGTGTGCAATCCTTTTTTAAGAAACTCCACAGAATAAACTGACATTACATTCAAATTTTAACTTTATTTTTTTAAAGAAAGGATGCCACATATGTCATGTTTTTAAGGGTTTCTTTTGGGAACAGCCTACATGAAGTGGCACCTTGGGATCTTTAGATCCAAGTTCTAAAAATTCTCTTCCAAATCTGATGAAATTGAAAAAAAAGTATTCCTGGACCAAGTCAAAATAATCTGAAAAATAGTTGTGTCCCAGTAGAAAGTCCTTTCAAGTTCCTCTAAAATGCCACCATATCCCACTTGCTCTAGGTGAAGAAGAATGCAAATCAAACTATCCGTTGACAGTCAACAATCTCAGGCACATCCTAACATCACTGGTTGCCACGCATCATTTCTTGTAGATAAGCTGTATTCATATGATAGGCAGCCATCCAACTAGGATGTCTCTGAGCATTCCAATAGTAAGAGTGGGAAGCAGCAGCATAATATTCTTGCCATGCTCTGTAATATGCTCTCCAGTACTCCTCATAATCCTGGTAGGTATCAGAAAAACTCGAATTTGTTTCCCTGTGACAGTCATACCAAGTCTCTTCCTGGGGCTCTGTCTGGACTCGGTAAGAGGAACGCCGGGGAAGGTTTCTCCGACTCTGCTTCGATCTTTGGCTAGCTCCTTCTTTATGCCTTGCCTTCGCCTGGGTTTCAGGAGATTCTTGATACTGCACCTGAGTTGGGGTATCATTTTCATTCAGAACTTGTTCCAAAGAGAGAGGGCCACCCACAGGAGTACATTCAGGGTCTTTCAACTGAGGGTCAGAAGAGCCTTCCAAGTAAGACTTATTGCTTTTGCTCTGGGAAGAAATCCTTGAGCTGCAAGAATCACTGTCACTCTCTGAGTCACCAGACTGGCTACTACTCACCAACATCTGTGTCCTATCTTCAGAAACTTTGTTTCTCACAAAACCATTCTGAGGATTCACAGTCTGAGGCCCAGGTCCTGTGTAGTGCCGGATAATTTCCACAGGTTTCTCTAACCCCTCTTTAATATAGTGCTTATAATCCTCTACCAGTTCTGCAAAAGTCAAAGTACATGGCTGATGGACTTTGAAAGAAGATAGGCAAGGAATTTTAGGGAGCGAGCCAAGTGAGGCATCTTTGGCCTGATGCTGGCTGTTACTGGAGGAGGAGGAGTCCTCAACAGAGGTCTGAACAGAATTATTAACCTGCTCTTCCAGTTGTATGGTACAGCCCAACTCCTGTGGTGGAACCTTTTCTATGATTCCACACTCTGAGTGGCTTTTCACAGGAAGCTTTTGTTTGTTACTGTGTTTTGATTTGGCTGATAGTGTAGATACAGAAGTATTTCTGGTTGAAGACATTTGGTTACCAGGAGTTCTTTGAGTCTGGAAGGTTCTCTCTACTTTTTGAACTTGCTTTTGGGGAGACTGAACAGGTATACTTGGTGAGCTGTAAGTATGCATTGAAGCTTTAACTTCCACATCCCAATCCAAGCATTCTTCCATCAAGCCAGGAGGAATGGGATCTATAGAAAAGGAAGAATAAGAATTAAAATTCTCAGACCAGGCATGGTGGTGTACACCTTTAATCCCAGCACTATGGGAGTAAAGGCAGATGGATCTTTGTGAATTAGAGGCCATTTTGGTCTACTTATCATGTACCATGCCAGTGAGACTCTGTCTAAAAAATAAATAAAAACTGCAAAGCCTAATGAATATTTTTCATGTGTCAAAGAGCTAGCATGTAATCTTTTCTACACATCAGTTGTTAACACTTTTACTTAATCTGTATGTTAAATTATGCTGAAATGTCCTAATCTACAAAACACAGACTAGCTAGCTATACCATGTACCTCACAGACCTGTGGTGACAATTAAATGAATTAACATATATACCGTAGACACAATGGCACTATGTGCTATTATTTTTATTACGCTTATCTGTAAGAATGTCAAAACTTCTGACTCACATGGAAGCTGAGCATGGGTGGTACATACCTTTAATCCCAGCGTTCTAGAGGCAGAGGCAGACAGATCTCTGAGTTCAAGGCCAACCTGGACAGCCAGAGCTATAGAGAGAAATCCTACCTCAAATAAAGTAATACTACTAGTAAAAGATTGTCAAAAAGAAACAGAAACATGTACCTGGTAAAGGGAGAAGGTTGATATTACATTTCTGGGCAATTTTCATCATCATATTTTCTTCCTCCCCCCTACAACAGTACGTCACTGTCAGTCCCAATGTACCTAAGAGTAGAGAGTGACATAGTAACTCATTTCCATAGAAATAACAGTCCAAGTACCTTTTCACATCAGTTTTCTTGTTAAAGCACTAAACTTCCTTACCAAAACGGCCAGCTCTGCCAATCCGATGCATGTACGTCTCCCAGTCTACCGGTACATCCAGATTAACTACTAGATTAACCTTCTCCGCATCAATCCCACGGGAAGTCTTGAAGAAAATTGTATTAATTACAGCATGGCTACCAATGAACACTATGCTCTTTGGTATAACCAGAACCCAAATTTAAAGCAGGCAAATATTTAGGATTCAGAGGAAAAAGAAATATATTTCTAATGACTAACTAGGACTAAACTATTTAAAACAATTAAGCATTAATGACACTTTTAAGAAAGCACTTTCCCCAGAACTGGAAAGATAATTTTTACCTCTGGTACCCACTGGTACACCTAATAAGATAGGACAGCAATCTGATAACAATACATGTCAAGACCCACAGTCACCCAAACAGAGCAGGAGCTTTACCAAATCTGTAGAAATGAGGACTCTGCAATGAAACTGCTTCAGTTTAGCCATGGCATCAAGGCGCTGATTCTGATTCATGTTACCTAAAAAGAACCCCCCAAAAAAGTCATTTTAAAACACCTAAGCAAGCTGGTATGGTGACACATGCTT